CCGCTTTTAGCACAGCCCAAGAGCCTGCTCGTGCCTGCTGCTGTGTGAGTGTCCTCTCTGAGGGCTGGTGCCAGGGCTGTGCAGTGCCCTGGCTGCCCTGGTCCCCTGGCAGCTGCTGGGGGACAGCTCAGCCCTGGGCCAGGCGCCGGGGCGGCACCGACACAGGCAGGGCCTGAAAGGAACAGCCTGGCCTTTCCTCGGCCTTTTCCAGGGGTCCTTTCTCACCATGCAGGGCTGCTCTGACTGCCCTGTCGTCCTGGAAACTCCTGGGCAGGGAATTCTCAGGGCTTTGTAGCCTCCCTCCACAGCCACATCCATGCTGGAAGGCAGGCAGAGCTGGAAATAGGGGCTGCTGCCACGAGACCTGCGTGTGCTCTCAGTGTAAAGGGGTGTGTAGGTGGGTGCACATACCCTTTTGTTAACATGTGGGGTGTCTCTCACCAGAGACCCCCCCCCCAATCCACCCCCATTCCAAAGGGCCAGGATTAGCCCTGCTGTCAGCCAAGAAATAATGGAAATGAGTATTGCACTGAAGCTTAGACACAAATATTTATTAAGCACAACCCCCCCCACACTCCTTCCCCTTGAGCTGTATTCATTTCTAATATATTAATCCATTTGGCAGATTATTTTTTAGAAAAACAAAAACAAGTACCTGTGGGTTGGAAATTCCCCATTAAAATGACATTAGCAAATGCACATGTAAAAAATAAATAAGCTCATACATTCAAGTATATGGCAAATAATACCTCAATAATACCTCTGAAAGCTTAATGGTCAGATTCCAGTTCACCACCTGGCTGAGAGCTGCACAGGCCTGGTCAGGTCATCATCATCATCATCAATGTTTTCTTTTTTTTACAAATGCCAGCTTGGCTGGTACAAAGGTGGCTGGGGCAGCTCCTCTCCCTCCTCCAGAGCTCTGCCCAGCCCCAGGAAGGAGGCCCAGCCTTGGCCAAGCGCTCCGTGCAGCAGGTGAGTGCTCTCAGGTAGCAGGGAAAATGCAGCTACCGCTCCACATGGTCAGTGCAGGCAGGGAAAATGCCCCATGAGCAGCATCACTGGTCTAAAAAAAACATCTCACTGCTGGTTGGGAATGTTCCCATCAAACGCATTCCAAACAGGAAGTGTTGGTTTGGTTCTCTACAGGAACGTCGCTGCTTCGGCACAACTCGGTGCTGGAGTTTCTGGAGTCCGAGAGAGTCTCTGGTCAAGAGGAGGGAAAATCCTGCACCTCCTGAAGTCAGGTCCCTGCTTCCCACCTCCAGCTTTTCCAGCTGGTCCAAAAGGGGAAGGAACGACAGTAAATGTGGCTGGGGCTCCCCTGAGGCTCCAGGTGTTGGAGACAGGTGGGGCACAGCTACGGTGCCTTACCAGGAGCAGCTCAGCACTGGTTTGGGGAGAAACACGGAGGGTGAAGGGCCATTATCCCGAGCTGCTGTTGGACACAGAAGGAAGGACAAGCTGCGGGCAGAAAGCTCTGCTGGCTGTCGGAGCGGGTCCCTGTCACACGCAGGTTCTGCCTCAGGCACCCTCACCTGCCTGAGACCTCGGCTCAGTGGCACCAGAGCTGCCCACATTTGCAGGGGGCTGAACACGAGCAGAGACCTTCCCCTTCCCAGGCACAAGCCCCTGCCTGGGGCTGCACAGCTCGCTGAGCTCCAGAGGTAACAAATCCCACTAAAGCTCGGGGTGAGCGAGGCTTTGCTCCTGCCCAGGGCTGGGTAAGCAGGGGGTGTCCATGGCTCTGCAGAGTCCTCAGCAAACCTAAAACACACTCTGAGGTGTGTGGGGCCGCAATGCAGCTGCGGTGGGGTAAGATTTGAAGGACTGGTGTGGCCTCAGACTTGGGATTTTTTTCTCCTGTAGAAGGAACAAAGCTGAGAAGACGTTCCAGGGAAGGATCCAGAGTCATTTGTGTCACCTCGTGATGCACGCAGTACAGGAGGACTTCAAAATGGAAAAGGTGCTCTTCCCTTCCCCCATTTAATTAAAAGTGTTGTGGAAATAAAAGACATCAAGGCTGGAGTTAACTACCCCCTCTGGGCTCCTCCAAGTTCCTGTATTTTTGGGTGATCAGCAAAGGGGCTGCCAAAGCCTTCCCTCGTGCCCAGTGTTACAGGGGCCGTGTGTCCTAAAAAAACCCCTTGTTTAAAAATTGTGCCCCATATCCATTGGGCCTTCCTGTAGCAACAGGAGGGAGGTGCAGCTCCCACATCCCTGGGGTGGCTCCTGGGACAAGTCTGTGGCAGCACAGGAGCCCTCGGGTTTGAAACCACCCACACTTTTTTTCTTAAAAAAAAAAAAAAAAAAAGAAAAAACCCAAATAAAGCCAAAACAAACCCCCACCCCAGACCAAACCCCAGTTCTTAGCTGGAACCAGGCCTGTGCTGCTCCTCCTCAGCCTCCTCCTGGGTCGAGGCCAAATCCACCCGCTGCTCGTCCATGCGCTTGGCCTGGACACGCTGGATGAGGCTGAAAAAGTCTTCATCCGGCATGGTGGGACCGCGGGGGATGGAATCAGGGGGGGCACAGCGCTGGTCATCGATCCTGGAGGACTGCACGGGGGGAGAGGGGCGTTAGGGTGGGGCAGGATGACAGGGGAGGGCTGGAGCAGAGGGGTCGGGGGTCCCACTCCCCCCCAGCACGGGTACCTGGCACTTCATGAGCATGTTGAAGAACTCATCTCCGGGCTCCTGGGCGTCCCCCTCGACACGCAGGTGCCCCAGGTTGTTGTGGGTTATCCGCAGCCCCGGCAGGTTGCCCACGTTGGCACGTTGGTCATCCAGGCGCCTGCTCTGGGAGCTGGCGATGAGGTCGAAGAACTCCTCTGTCTGCGGAGAGGCCATCAGGGCAGACTGCGCTGTGGGGACAGGGCAGGGTCACCCCCTCAGCCTGCAGAGCCCAAATCCTCCTCACCAAACCACTGCCCAGCCCCCCTCCCACACAGGCACTGACCTGGCAGGCAGCACAAGGGGGAAGGAGGTGCCGTGACAGGGTGAAAAGCAGAACCTCATCCCCATCTCCCACTGCTGGACCTGCTGAGGGGCTCCCTGCCACTGACTGCGCTTGGTCAGCTCCTGGAGGCCACCAGGAGATTCAGTGCCCCCCATATTAACCATAGCCTGGGTGTGATCACTGTTTTTTCCAGCTTCCACTGCCGCCTCCACTCTGGTTCCCAGCTGGAGCCAAGAGGCACCAGGCAGACCCCAACAATCACAGGTGAGCACAGGGTTCCTGAGTGCTGTGACAGGCACCTGCGCAGTCCTGAGGGTCAGGAATAATTCCAGCCCAGGCCTGGCTGAGCCTCCCACCTGCCAGCACCTTCCCAAAGCCCCCCAAGAAGCCCAGCCTGCTTGGGCAGCTCAAGGAGAGGCTGCCAAGGTGAGTTCGCAGCCTGGGATAGGGTTGGCACAGGCTGGTGCCAGGAGATCCCAGAACCAGTACACATAATCCCCCCTCTATAGACCCTTTGGAAATGCCTCACTGCAAAGAGCCTGTTGGCTCCTGGCAGCTTCTGGGCAGGGAAAGGCTCCCAAACAACAGACACTGCACTCAGACAGGGACAAGCAAAGGAAAACTTTAGGAAACCCGGCCTGGCTGGTGTTCCTGCCCCACTGAGCACAAAGCACTGGGGCAGAGGCTGCCCAGAGCCTCCCAAAACAGCGAGATCATCTTGGAGCCCCAGCTCGTGGAGCTGCAAAAAACAACAGGAAAATCTCAGCCCTGACGCAAAGATGAGTTTCTTCCCCTTCAGCTGACAAAGAATCCTTGAAAATAACACGTCCAAAAAGGCTCAGAGCCCAAAGGAGCCGAACACAACATGTGCTGCTTGTGCATTCTTTATAAAGCTCCGTATTTTAAACCCAGTCTCCTAAATTACACAGCTGTTACAGCCAAATGCACTTCTGTGTCAGAAATGCATCTTTTGACAAAGTGATGCTTATTTCCACCCTATTTTTAGATGATAAAAACCCCTCTCACCTCACAGCCAACCTGTCTTCCTGACCACCTCCGCACAGCTCTGCTCTCGCTGCCACTTCAGCCCCTGCCCCTGCTCCTTGTGCCCGGCTCTGGCCACACTCAGAGGAGTGTCAGGGGTCTCCTCCTCTCCAATGGACTGTTTGGAGTCCTTTGTGCCGGTGATTAAGCCTGGAGTTCAATCTGTGCATTTTAGAGCTTCTCTCCAGCTTGGGTTAAACAAAGGCCCTCAAACACCAAAAAACCCGAGTGCAAACACAGCCCTGCCTTTCCTGTCCCGTCTGTTTGTCAGGCGCCTTCCTCAATTTATCCCTGCTCTTCCTGGGGGCGAGTTCGCTCCGTCTGCCTGCTGAAGCTTCCCACTGTTTATCCATCCCTCTGGCTCCTCTGTCCTTATGCAGCACCTATCACCACAGCATCCAAGAACAGAACAAAATCCAGAAGTTCTTCCTCCATGGCAACACTACTACAAAAACTGGCAATATTTTAACTTGCCTGAGAAAGCCTGACCCTGCACGCCCCGGGTTCTTACAAGGCTCCCTCAGCCATGACCATCATCTTCCTCATGGAAGCGGCAGGATCCGCCGTGCCAACCTCGCCATTCCAAAGCCAACACCTAAAGACCCACACTGGAAAAATCCCCAGTGCATTTTGCATTCCTCTTCCCAGTTTAATCCCCAAGCCTTCGCTCACATTCTCCAAGCCTTCCCCTCAGCAACCATTAACATAAGAATGTCTCTTCCTTCCTTAAATAATGAGGGAGATCGCCAAGGAACTGCTAAGTTCAGAGAGCTGAGGCTTAGGGAAAACATCACGGGGAGCCACAGTAAACCACAACAGCTGGCCAGGCTGCGGGAGCAGCGGCGCTCCCACAGAAACAGAGCCTTAGGAACGCTCCGGTGCTCACATATCCGCTCTCCCAGGGCAGGCACCGGGGTGGCAGCTGCCTCCGCAGCCTCCGACGGGCACTCCTCCAGCGGGCAGCGCTGGTCATCCATCCGGTTGCTCTGGAACTTGCTCAGCAGGTCAAAGAAGCATTCCTCATCCGAAGGGGTCCGGTTGATTTTCTGGAAAGAGAGCAGAGAGAGTCAGAACACCCCGAGCAGCTCCAATCGCTCACTCTGGTGCGGATCGGGAACGGTCGCAGCTTCTCCTGGTCTGTTCTGAGCTGGGTCCTGGCTGTGCCCTTGGTTTGCCAAGACCCCCAGCTGGGAGCCTTTTGGGGTCACTGCTCTTTGGTCCCTCTGATCCCAGAGGCTCCCACAGCCCAAAGCAGAGCACGGCTCCCCCCAGCACGCTGAGCAGTCGCTGTCACTGCAGTGCCTCGAGCTCCCAGAGCAAACTGGAAGCTGAAGGGAAAAGAGGGGACAAAAGGGGACAACATTCCCCAGGCACTGCTCCGTGGGCAGCTCCTGGGCTGGAAAGGGCTGGGCTCAGAGAAGAATGAAGGGGAACTGTGCAGCCACCTGGGCTGAGGTGCCGCTGAGTGCCCAGCCGGGGCTCAGCCCAAGCTCAGGGTTTGCTTTTCCACCAGCTCAATCCAACCCTGCCAGGGCACTGCCCCTCGCACCCCAGCACTTCCCTTCGGTGCCCCCGTGTCATCAGCGCAGCACTTGTAACAGTCACCCAGCTGAAAATGCCACTAAATTACAGTTTTTCAGGACAGCAGCTCTTACACAAGAGCCCCAAATGAGCACCTTGCACTGGACAGGGATATATTTAAGTCCTGCTGCAGGAGGGTTTGTGTTGGAGGCCACCAGTCCAACAGCCAGTTCCAGCACGGAGAGGGGCTGCGTGCCCTGAGAGCAAGCCCAGAGCAGCAGGAACAACAAACCTTTCCAAGGAATCCCTTGGAATGGGAGATAAAATTAACCAGTGATAAGAGGAGCATCTGCCAGGCTTGGGGACGGTCCCTGAGTGCCAGGCTGATCCCACCAGTTGCTGAAAAAAATACCACAACTGAAACCAACCAAAACCTCCTACAACTGGGTCTGTCTGTGCTATTTTCCAGCACAGAGCCTGGGCAGGAGCTCTGGATCCCTCCTGGGGTGCATCACATCCCACCGGAGAGATGGAGAGGGCCCAGGGAGAGCCAGCCCCGAGTGCCAGACTTTCCAGCGGAGAAGGGATCCCCTTGGCTGCTGATGAAGCCAAGTCCCTCTCCCAGCTCTGCTTGTGGCCGCTCTGGGAGCCTTCCCAATCCCACCTCACGCAGTGCCATTCCCAGCAGAGCTCTTCCCTGGGGCAGGGGCAGGCAAAGCCCTTCACAGGAGCTCTGCCACGGGGAGAGACTTGTGCTGACAGGGTTAAAGCCACAAGTTGGATTGGGTAAATGAAGGAAAACAATTTTCCTGTGTGCCAAGCGAAGCAGATGAGATGCTCTCAGCTTCTATTTAGGGCAGAGTCAAAATTAGCAGCGGGCCAGAGAGGAACATTAGCAATGTGGGAGCTGATCGGGGAGGGGAAAAACCCCTCTCACCTCCCTCCACGTGCCGATCTGCTCATGGATCCATCCTCTGAACCATCAACAGTTGCACCTTGGAAATCAAAGCTTGAACCGAAGGTGAACTGCATCTCTCACAGCTCTGCTGCGTTGGGTTGTGTGACCCAAATTTCAGGCTAGAGGAGGAAGCGGCTCATTCACATCGAGCCTCCCTCCAGCTTCCCCACAACCACACCGAGTAAATCAGAGCAGTCCTGGATCCACAGGGCAAGTTCCCCCTTGCAGGAGCAGCCTGACAGTGTGGCCAGAACCCACCAGCTCAGGGGGTTCAGTCTCCCCTGACAGGGACCACATTCCCCTGGGGCACGTCCTGCCAGAGACCCTGCGACTTGGGGTGTTGGGATCCCTGCTCACAACGTGTCTGGGAGAGGAGAGGATGCTCTGAATCAGTGGGAAGAACAGGCAGTGCATGGAGGTGTGGGATGGGGCTGGCTGTGTGCCCGGGCACCTCCCGGTACGGTGGCACCCCAGGGGCAGGAAGGTCAGTGCCCGTGGGCCACGATCGGGGCTCACACGTGCTGTGCCAGCCAGGACGGGACGGTGGGAGCTGCAGGGCATCTCCTGAGGACAGCAGGATCCCTGTCCCAGCCCCAGGCCTGCACCTCTCTAATTAAAATGCCCAAATGTGACAAGGCACGGAGTGCTTGGTTCCCTCCCTCCCTCCCAGGCTGTTTCAAGCCCCGAGGCAGGAGCTGCGAGGGCAGATGGAAGTGCGATCACACCCCGGGGCTCGCCATCTGTGCTCGCCTGGGGCTTGGCACATCCAGGGCATCCCCACACGGGGCTGAGCAACAGCCATAAGACAGACACACACAGCAGGCACCACGGGCCCAGGTCCCTAAATGCTTCCTGGGCACCAACTTCGGTTCCCAGCCCCAAGACTCACCCCATGGCTGGTGTCCCTGCCTGGCCTCATCCCCCATCCTCTGCTTCCAGCACTGCAACTGCCCAAATTCTGCCACCTGTCACCTTCCTGTGGTCAGCCAGATGCTGTCACAAAATTAAACCCAACCCTGTCTGCACGGGGCAGAGGGACCTGGGGCTTTTGCTGGCCCCCACAGCCTGGGGGGCTGCTGGCACAGCAGAGCTCACCCCGGGGTAGATCTGGCTGCAAACACACCCTTGGCACACACACACACCTCTCCCCACAAGGGGACAAGGACAAGAGTGGAGCCTCTGCTCCCTGACCTCGGGAAGACAGGGATGGCTCCATCCCAGGCAGGTGGAGGTCCCATTCATGGGGTTAGAGCTTTGTTCCCATTTTCTGAGAGTGGTATTCCCACCTGGACACCGCCAGCTCCTCACAGAGCTGAGCAACCTGGCTCGGGACAGCCTGGGAGCAGGACTCTCCCTCCTGACACACTCTCTCTCCTGGAAGGCATCCAGGATTTTGCATACATTCCCTTGCTGGTGGATGAACAGGCTGTTTAACCTGCCTGGGTGGATTCAGGATGTGCAAACCACAGCTGAGGTGTTGGAGAGGCAGTGAGGAGCAGATCCTGCTGCCACTCCCCGCTCTCCCTGCAGGACGGGACCACCGGCTCTCCGGGAGGGATTGGGAATCCCTGCAGGTCACTGCCCTGTGGAGGAGCACAAACCCACCCTATTTCCTCTCTGATAAACTCTCACTCACACCAAAAAAGGTCCTGGGCTGCCCAGCTCTGCCTGAGACGCGCAGGACACGCAGAAGAATCTCCTGGGGAAATGCCTCAGTCCGGACACTCCGGGTGTGCAGGTGGAGACAAGGCTGAAGCGATCCCAGGAAAGGCAAAAAAGTCAAAACCAACTCCTGTGCCTAAACCCCCTCAGCCATTTTCACTTGGGAGTCAGGAAAGCCACTAAACAAAGGCAGAAGACCTAACTGCAGGAACCAAACCACTTCCCAGCTCCCAACACCTGAAGTCACAGCCCACAGATGCCCCACAGGGTTTCCACCCTTGGAGCTGCTGCCCACCCGTGAGAGCCTTTCTCTGACACATTCCCAAGCCCCATCCCAGGATCAGCACCATATCCACAGTCTCTCTTTGGCCCCTGAGCAGCCCATACCCCCCACCAGGCACCAACACCTGCTGTCACAGGTACCCTCAACCCAACACTCTGGAGGTGGCGGCTTCTCCCACAGCTTCCTGCTGCCCCCACAGCAGCTCGGGATGCAGCTCTTCCCACACTCACTGCTCAGCCCCACCAAAGCCTGTCTGAATCGCTCTCAGGGTGCTCTGGGACAGGGCTCCCAAAACACCACCAGATCTTTCTGTGCTGGCCAAGAAATGGCACATCCACCAGTGATTCCATGGGGGGAAACATCCCCTTCAAAAGGAGCTTCTCCCACCAGACCGAGCTGCCGACGCTCTCTTGAGCCACCCAAAGGGCCAAACGTTGTCCCTCTGTCAGATCAGCCTCTCCTCCCACAGCTGGTGTCCCCAGGGCACTGACCTGCCTTTGGTTCCCCTCCTGTCCTCCAGGCTCAGCTTCTTGCAGACCTGTCCGAGGCAGGAAGGAGCTGTCAAGCTCAAGGGCTGCTTTGCCCAGCCCTCCAAGGGGACCTGCAGGCAGGACCAGTGGCACAGTGGATCCACCACAGGAGCTGCTGCTCGAAGGCATCTGGTCGGTGGCCGGGTCAGGGACGAGTGAGGAAGGCAGCGGGTTCAGGGATAACGCAGCTGCTTTCACTGCCACCCCTCAGAACTCACTGCCCTGGCATTTATGTGTCCACCACAATTCCACCTTATTTCAGGGAGGAGACAACCTGGAGATGTGACCTGGCCACGTCCTGCAGAGGTGCAGTGGCAGAGCAGGAGCAGGATCCAGTGCCTGGTCCCCAGGGCCAAGCTCTCCCCGGTGGACAATCCTCGGAAAAGCATGCCCCTTGTTCTGGCAGCATTACGTGCCCAGGGCCTGGCAGGTATTCATTCCCATCTCTGTGCCATGCCTTACCTGCCTCTCCCTCTGTGAACCAGACCCTCCACCACTCCTCTCCTCTTTTCAAGGCAGCCAACCTCAAAACCCCCTGGCAGGAGCAGGGCTGCCGGTGCTGGTGACCCCCAGTGCCGGGAGCAGCTTCTCCAGGGCTGCCCCACTGCCCGTCAGTCCCCTGCATGTGGCTTTTCTTTATCCTGCCCCACCCCAACACCTCGCCCTGGAGAACCCACCGTGGGGGCTGCACAACCCCAAACCATCAGGCTCTGAAGCTCACCTGGTGAAAGGCAGCGAGGGGGAGGTTTGCAGAGAGCTCCCGAACGGCAAGTGGGGGCTGGAGGAGAGGAGTGGAAGGAAATCCCAGCCTGAAAGCCACAGCCTGTTTCCCCAGGAGCACCATCTCTCAGGGACTCTCCCAGTGCCTGGCCACCAGCACCTCGGCTGGAACCTCCACTCCTTGATGAGCCCATCTTCTCCAGAGTCAGCAGAGCTGGAAAACTTGCCCGGTCTTTGCTGAGGACACCACTTCCACCTCCACGCCAACGCCGCTGCCACGCTCCCCCCGAGGGCAGGGCTGGTGGCAGACACCCCGTGTGTCCCCTCCCCGGGCTCAGGGATCCACCACCCACCCTCGGCACCCTCTGCTGC